CTGTTTCCTCTAGCAGAACAGTAAGTTAAGGAATTATACCGTGCCTACCAAAGGATTTGGAAAGACACCATGAAACACATGATCAACCTAATGTCTCGGCTGTCTGTTTTGCAGTTCATCCTCAATTCCACCAATCTCAAACGAATACGCTGCCATAGATCGACAGTTACAGCATATTTATTTCTGAGGATAATTTAGAAATCGTTAAAATTATTTTTAGCTTACAAGATCTAAAAATATTGACTTTTCTTTGTCGGTTTATAAGGTTTATTACGCTGTGATAGATTGCGGCCTACACTTACAGTACTCCCTCCTCAAAAAGTATGTCCTCTCCTTTTTTCTTTTTAGCTCTTACTTCCTATTATATCACTTTCACTGTGGTGCTCACATGATTCAACAGAATTGATGAAGACCATTACCTACTGGTAAACAGTAAATTGCCATCAATTTATTAAACCTTTAGTATTAAGCTATTTCGTTCCTTAAATATTGATGAGATAGTTAACAAGGAAAAGAAACTTGATGTACTGTTTAACCTTCTGCAAGCGCAACATCAAAAACCCGACCTCAGTTACTTCAACTGTGTGGAGCCCCACATACATGAAAAGGTACCATTTTTATTCAATAAGTTCATAATTTATCAATCAAAGAAGAAAGCTTACAATAAAAATCTCCTAATAAATCGATGCTTATAAATCCTCAATTATCTTTTGGCTTATTCTCTCTGAAAATTTGACTGCTATTTATGTACAATATAAAACAAACTACACAGCGTGAAAACGATCATTTAATTAATCGAAAAACAGTCGTACCTTAGAGAAAGAAAGCAATTTTGTTAATTTGGAAAAAAAGTTTTCAAATAAAAATTGTAAGTAACAATATAACTGAATGTTAACTGTTCAAAAAATTTGGCTCTTGACTAAAAAAAAATAAAGTTATCATTTAGCAAAAAACAACTCAAAGCAAACTGATTTCTTTTGAAGGCATAAAAACAGAATAATAAGTAAGAATTGAATTGACACAAAATATCGCAGATTCCCAGCATCCAACTTTAAACAAATGTAACATCAAGCATGAAAAGCAATCGAAGAAAAATAATTACAGTTATAACTAAAATATAGATGAGTTAAAAAAGAAAGATTC